GAAAGAACCTACAAGAAAAGAACATGCTTAAATTTTCAATAAAACAAGTTGAAAGCAGAAAGAACAATACTTAGATTTTCGAATAAAGCACAGTACAGGATTCTGAGATGCCTGAGAGCTAAAAAACGGTGCCTTGCAAATCCTAAAATGAAACAAATGATTTCTTTCAAAGGAAAATTTGGAGTAAGTGAAAACATGGAGTTGAAATAAATTAAATCAAGTAAGTAAAAAACTTCCACAGTGAAAATTACAAAAAAATTAAAAGTTGGTCTACCATATATGATACAGCAATCCCACCACTGGGTGTATATCCAAAGGAAATGAAATTAGTATGTCAAAGAGACATCTGCACTCCCATGTTTATTGCAACACAGTCCATAACAGATATGATAAGGAATCAACCTACATGTTCATCAGCAGATGAATAGATAAAGAGTACATGAATCAGCCACAAAAAAGAATTAAATCCTGTCATTTGCAGCAAAATGGATGGAACTAGAGACCAGACCTAAATAAATACCACATGTGTTTCTCTCATACATAGAAGCTAAAACATTTGATCTGAAAATACAGTAGTGATTACTAGAGGCTGAGAAGTGTGGGATAGAGGAGGGATAATGGGAGACTAGAAAAGTAGTAGCAAAACACAAATGCAAGTATGAGTTCTAATATTCTATAATTGGGGTGCTTATAGTCCACAATAACAATAACGTACGTACGTAGTTATGTATAAATATAAAGAAGACGAGCTTAAAAACGCCACAGGTGAAGAAATGATAAGGAGATAAAAATGCTAACTACCCAGACAGGATTAGTACACATTGTATACATGCATTAAACATAGCATTTTACACTATAAATATATAGAATTATTGTGTGTCAATTGAAAGAAAAAACTAAGAATTTTACTCAGGAGTAGTTTAAGACCTGGACTTCATATTCTAAATACTTCTTTTTAAAAAGTATTTTTTTTTTTAGGTGTAGAAGGACACAACCCAATACTTCTATTTTTATGTGGTGCTGAGGATTGAACACGGGGCCCCGCCAGTCCTAGGTGAGTGCTCCAACGCTGAGCCAAATCCCAGCCCCTAAATACTTCTTAATGTCTGTTCCCAGATTGACAAAGGCAATTCTATTTCAGGTCATAGAATAAAACACTACCTACTAGGAGGTGTAGCAGGGCAGAGCAGGGATGAACTCACCTTATTGTCATCAGTAGAGGGTTCAGTGTAAGCCACTTATTGGCCTCAAGAGACCAGCAGAGGACTCAGGGCAATTATTAAGTGAAAACCAATGGAGTTAGGTTTCACTGCTCTTGATCTAGGATATATTAGGATATATACTGCTGATTATTATCCTGTGGAGATTTCATAAATAAATTTACAAGTAAGAGAGTGGGCATTTTAAGAAATTTAATTGTCAGAGAAATTCTCAAACCTGGAAAATAGAGATCTGTTATTGCTCAACCATTAATTCAACATTCATTTTATTATAACTACATCTACAGAAAACAGGCAGTCTTAGTAATTACAGTCCTGCAGAGGAAATCCTGCCAAGTGCTCCTTATAGACATAGCCATAGAGGAAAATGGTCCCTGGCAATTCTCCCAGCACTCAAAGCAGTGAGGTAGATACATGACATGAAATTTACTCTACAAGTGAAGTGGATATTCTTAATGCCCCTTCCTGTAGAGTTTGACTTATGCTAAGGTTCACAGAGTTATTTGTTAGTTTTTATTCTCTACCTTTTCATAAGTACATTTTATCATCGTGTTTATTGTATTTATCTTTTTATTGTAGTTATCTTTTTCTCCCATCCACCATCTTGGTAGAATGTAAGTGCCAGGAAAGTTAAATAAATCATGGTGACCCACATTCAGATGTGATCAAGGAGAATGCATATCAGCAGATGTGTCATCTGGAGATAATAGGGATTTACTGCCTTTTGGAGAGGAACTGAGTATATATTTGGTGATGTTTGGAATTATTATGCTAGGTGGAGACATAAAACAAGTGCTTATCATGTGAATGCTGGGCAGGTGGGATTGAAATATAACAGTGGATTGAAAAATATTCTATTACATCTTCCACTTTTGTGGAAGTCTTTCCCCATTCATGTGGTTGCAGTAGAGGTGTTGATCACAGAGCACATATTTAGCCCACCTACATGCCTTAGCTCAGATCTATGCCTTAGCTACCTATATACCCTAGCCTTAAATGTAAACATGTGACATGGGCTTGGCTTCAGATTATCTTTTTCTTAAATAGAACAATTGGTTTTGGTGGGCCTATAACCCAAAGATCAGGCTCCTTCAATTATGGAATAAGTATATATGTTTGTTGTTATGCTTAACTTAGTTGGATCATGGATAGTATAGGATACTGTGAGCTGTGGATATATGAAAAGAAATCCTGCTGAGAGATCAAGAATAGGATGTAATCAATCTTTTTTGCAGTCCTAACAGTAATCCTCCTTTCTCTGGAAACTCTCAAGCATCATGAGGAAGGGATGGCCATCATTTTAAAATTATTAACAACTCCTCCCTCCTCAATGCTAGCAAGATGAGGAGAAGATTTCTGAACAAAGGTTATATGATCACATATTCTCTCCTATGTAGAAATGGGATTAAGAATGAGTGAGTTACGTGTGGCTTGCAACTGGAACTACCACAATTAAATTAAGGGGCTGTGACAATGTTATTCCACCTTAGGGACAAAAAGCAGGAAAACCATTTATGCAGAGATGAAAAAGTGATGCAGGTGTGCATAATACATAGAAGAAACTTAAAAATAATTTTGATGACCCTCCTGGTTCTAATCTCATTGTCTTCTGGAGCCCAGTGCCATTCCAGCCTTATGTCTCTATAAATTCAATGACACTCCACTCCGTTGTGTGCTTATACTATTACTAGGGGGTTTCTGTTTACTCATAACTAGATGTTTCTAAATAAAACAGCTGTGTAGTTACAGTAGTAATTATGATGGAATTAATGAAAGTAATGTTAGCTAATATATACTGAATGTTTTGTACATGAAACATCTAATGTTCACTCACTATAACCTCCTGATGTTAAGTGAAAGTTAATATTATATATGGCAACTTAAATAAAAATTACTCAAGTAAGTTATTACAGTGAAATAAAGAACTGATAAGTATTGAGTTACTTTAATTTAACTGTAATATTATAATAAACTTGTAATCAGAAAAGTTAGGAATAATACCAGGAAGGTAGCAAGTTCTCTTCTTTGTACTAGTTAGTCACCATTGTGATATGATTGTGATAAAGAGGTGAACATCAGCCATCAGGTGGCATTTTGAACCAGTCTGCAGATATTATTTCATCAAAAAAAATTTTCTTAAGATTAAAAAAAGTGCAAAACAACAATGAAGGACCCAGTAGCCCACGGATACTGCCTGTTTTAAGTTCTCAGAGAAAATCTTGTGAACATGTTCAAAGGGATAACAGTTAGTGTACTCTGTCTTCAGTACTCAGATTTTCTTTCCCCTGATATTTTTCTTAGTGGAAGTTCTTACTTTAAACTTTAAACAAATGCTTACATGACTCAGACAATTTGATGTAACATGAAAGAACAACTTTGCTCCTAGCTGAACAGAACCCAGGTGGCTGCCTAAATAAAACATGCGGAAAAATATTAACCACAGGGAGTCTTGCCTACGACAGACATGACCTACCATAATGCAATTCAACAGACAGGGCAGGATTAGAAAGTGCTGAATCATGGGATCTCCCACTGCCCTCTGTGTACTCTTATGTTCTGCTGAACTCACCAGGGATTTTCAAGTAAACCCATGTAAGGTGGATCCAAGTTTGAACTGTGTCCAGGGATGACTTGTCTATGATTCAGAAGGCTTTCCTTTCAATGACTCTTCACTTACATAATTTCTTGTTAATGTGTCACAGGTGGTTGAAATGCATTTTCACTGCATTGCCATTTGTTTTGGGGCTTCTCTATAAGACTGATTTCCTTAATATCTCAGAATGTGCCAGGTTTATGCGCATAAATCCATGTATGTACTGGATTCCATCTCCTATCACCCACTCAAAGAGAGGATATGGTTTCCTCTCTGCGGTGATTCAGACTTTCTACTGATCCTCAAAACTGAATCTTACTCATGAACGTATAAACATGGTATCACATTTCCCATCCAAAGGAAAACGAAACAATCCCATTGTCTTCTGAGGCCCTCATGTCACTCTGTCTCTGTAATTCAACAAAGATTCATTGTGTGCTCATACTATTACTAGCTAGGTTCTACTGACACACATCGAAATATTTCAGAATAAAATAGCTGTATAGTTATGATAATTATTATTTTCTTTCTCATTGTTCTGCTGTTCTTTACAAGGAAGGCACCAAAAAGAAATGTCTATTCCAAGAGTCTCTAACGCCTATCGTTTCCTTTATTAAGTCCATTCTATTGAAGTTATTTTTCTCACCACTCGTTAGAACAAGCTCTTGAAAAGGCTATCCATGTCATTCACATTGCTAAACCCAATGCTCGATTCTTGGGTGTTATTTAACTTTACTCATTGGCAGCATCCTTCACCAGCGAACACTTCATTCTTCTGTACTTGAAAACTCAAGAGAACTCTCACCTCAGTCTTGTGATCTCTTCTCTATCTATGCTTTGTCCCTTGGTGATCTCAGATAAGTCCATAATTGTAATTCAAGCCCAGTTTTCTCCCTTAAACTGTGGAAGCATTTTTCGAATGTTTCCACTTTATCCCAATTTGAAAATGTGATACCATCCAAAACTAACAGAACAAAAATGAAATTTTGTTTAGGCCCACCTGCCCTTCAAAATCCAAATAAAACAAAACGCTGTCCCACCTATAGTCTTCCTCAACTCAATAACAGTGACTTTAGAAAATTCAGATAAAAACAGGGACGCCTGCTGAATTCTTACTTTATATTTAATCTACATTTAATTCACAAAGAAATCTTGGATTATTTTCTAAAATATATTTTGAATCTCACCATTTATCATTATTCCATTACTTCTTATTCCTGGTCACTTCTTACTTGGACTATTGCAGAAGTTTTCTAACTCGTCAACCTGCTTTCAGCTTTGCTTCTATGTTCATTAAACCTAGGTTTTGCTGTGTTTAATTAGAATGCACAGTAGTAAACAAAGAAGATAGAAATTTCTTGGAGATTCCATAGTCATTAGTGACATAGGCGTCTTCTATCTCACTGTTTTATCATATTAAGAGAATTTCTTGCGGGGCACACCTACAACCCCAGTGGCTCAGGAGGCTGAGGCAGGAGGATCATGAGTTCAAAGCCAGCCTCAGCAATGGTGAGGCACTAAGCAACTCAGTGAGACCCTCTCTCTAAATAAAATACAAAGTAGGGCTGAGGATGTGGTTCAGTGGTCAACTGTCCCTGTCATCAACCCGCATTACATCCCCCCAAAAATTTACTTCACAACCTATGTTGACTCTAGCTGGGCACCCATCCAAGGGACAAGGAGGGAGGAGGGCATAAAGAAGAAATCCATCTCACTTTCTAGGGCCTATTCCTGAAAAACTTCGAATAAAATTTCTACCACATCTTATTAATCAGAATTTTGTGTAACTAGATTATACCCAAATATAAGAGAAGTGGAGAAGTATGGAAATCATCCCATCCATGTGTCAAGTGAAGAATTTTATACTGATACCAGAGAATAAAAAGAAGGGAGACATTGAGAAGTATTTAGCAGTTTCTATCACACTTTCCTATAGTGTGTTCTTCATCATGTTCTGTTATTTCAGCAGGAACAACCATCCAGAAGCTTAGTTCCCACATGACTGAAAAGAGGCCCTCAACTTAATTATTGGAAGATCCTCTTAGTTGGTCTCCTTGCCCTCATCTATTTTCATAGAGAATCCATGACAAATATTTAAAAATATATCTGGTCATATCATTCTTCATCATAAAACCTTTTAATATATCATCGCACTCAGAGTTATATATTAAATTTCCTTAAAATAGCCTACATGGTTGTACACAAATTCACCTTTGGCTATCTCTTTGATTTTATTGTGCTTACCTCCAATTACAAAATCACACTTTCCCTCTTGTAGTTACTCATATATTTCAATCAGATCCCACCTGGGTGCCTTTGCCTTGCCATTCCTTCTACTGGAATAATTTTCCCTCAAGTATTCATATGGTTTATAGATGTGACCTTATCAGTGAGATACCATTCTTAACCACTACTGTAAACAGTACCTCTAATCCTTACAATTTTCAAAGAAACGATGAATTCCTCAAATTGCTTGTGTCTAAAATTAGCTTCAAATATTTTATGAAGCAATTTATTTTCTCTTTTGCTACCTTCTCCACATCAAACATCGATACTGTCAATTCATCAGATCCTCAATCACATTATATGATACACACATTCTAGTCACTTATTTAAGTGATCTCCCATTAATAAATAATTGTGTTAAATCCAGCTGTCCCACAATAAACAATGCTTCAATAAATAACCTTGAACTTAGTAAATTTCACTTATGTGTATGTCCTAAAACAAAAACAAATTTATAATTATAAACACTGAAGAGGAGGCAAAAAAAAAAAACAACTGGAACTATTGGGCATTGCTGATGGGAAAGTCAAATGTGCAGCTACTGTGGAAAACAATATGGAAATTTCTCAAAAAATTAAACATAGAAGTATCATATGATCCAAAAATTGTGCTTTGTTCTAGGTATACACACACACACACACACACACACACACAAAATTAAAATTGGGGACTCAAACAGATTTGTATACTAATTTTCATAGCAACGTCATTCACAATATCCAAAAAGAGGAAGTAATTCAAATGTTGACAGATGAGTAAAGAGAATGCTATTTAAATTGGACAATCTTACTATAATAAAAAGTAATTTTAAGCCATATATTTGTATTCATAATCTCTTTTTCTTTAGAAGTATCAATATATTATTGTCCTATGTTATACACTTCATCAGTGATACATTATGTCTACCTTAAATGATTTTTTTTTCAAAACTATTAAGAGAATTTAAGAGTTACTTTTAGTTCCTGTTTTGTTCAGATATAGCAATGCATTTTTTTCAAAAAGCTATATTTTTTTCAGAGACTACTATTCCAACTATAATGGCCACTATTTTTTCTCCACAAGAATATTGACAAACATTTTTTTTTTGTGAAACTCAAGCTTTCCATCTTTTATCTTAATGTTCCAGAAAGTGATACCTGGAAACTATTTGTATATTTTAGAAATTATTCCTGGATAATTTTACTAAAAATGACATGCACCAATGTATCTAGTACAAAGTGATCAAATAGAAGAGTAGAAATTGCTTGGAAATTAAGAGAAAGTCAGGGAGATTGATGGTGTCAAATTATAAATCTTGTAATTTCTCTGGATATTTTGTCCTGCATGATATAGGGAGATGCTAGAGAGATTTAGCAAAGTACTTTCTGTGAAAAGAAAGTTTGACTGCACTGTTGGAAGATTCTATGGAAGGATAAATGTGAAAGCAGTTGAACCAGTTAGTCAGCTCATTCAGTGTTTCACAAAGGTGTGATAGTTATGTGCTGCATAGTGGTAGCAGCAAAGATGTTGAGAAATGGTTGGATTTGGAATGTTTCAAAGTCAGAGTCGGTGAGATTTTCTGATAGATCGTCTATAAGATGTTAGAGAAAGAGGAGTCAGGACCACTTCAAGGTTTTGCAATAGATCTATGTTTGGAAGAAGTGGAGATTAGGTAAATATGGTGGAGCCAAATAAAAGACTCTTGAGCGCCAGGTGGAAGAGTTCAGACTTGCTCCTGTAAGAATAACAAAGTCACTTTAGGTTCCTGAGTAGGAGAATAACATGATGCAAGATGTGCTATTGGACAAATTGCCTGGCAGCTGTGTCTAACTAGACTGAAAGGAATGACAAGGCAGGACTGAGGAAACAGGACCTTGCTGGTTTCTATCTGAGTGTGGGAGAACTTACTCCTACTCTTTCCTCCTTTGGTAATGGAGGCCTTTATACGCAGCAATTTCTTTTCTCTTTAAAACAAGCTATTCAGTTCTCTATGGAATCTGTCAACATAAGAACATACTAGAGTTAGCCTGTTTGATCACACACACACCCCAGAAAACACAAATGTATGTGCAACTATAAATTGTCCACATAAGGCGATGAGCAGTTTGGTATAAACTCTCAGCCCAGACCTTGGTGGAAATGGATCCTGGCTTAACTACTTGTACTTGTCCAACCTTGGGTATATTAATTAATTTTCTCATGTCTCAGTTTTCTCATCTGTGAAACTAGTTTAAAGATAGTACTGATCTCATAGAGTCAAATTGAGAACTAAATCAATATTAAATTTTAAATATTTAAAATTTTACTTAAGATATAGCAAGTTGTTCAATACCTGGGAGTTCATTTTTCCAGTACAGTAGAGAAGCAGGATCTGGGGAGAATGGAAAGAGATAAAGAGGAAGGACTGGAGAAGAAGGTCATCAAATTATGTTTTGTGTACATATGAATATGTCACAATGAGTCCCACTATTATGTATAACTATAACACACCAATAAAACATATATAAAAACAAATTAAAAATCAGTGTAGACTAAATTTTTAAAATGTGTTTTTACTTAATCTTGGTATGAATTAATTAGGGCCTATTATAGGCAATAGAGGAAATATAATTTCAAAAGAATAATAGAATTTGATATCTGGAAAGAGGAATAAAAGTGAATGATAACAGTAGGAGTCTAGAATATGGGTATTAATGATTAGGAAAAAAAGCATCCTTATTTTTAATATTTTACACAGGCAAATTCCTATGAAAATATTTTTTAAAAAATGAGGACATAAATTACATTTATAATTAAACATGATTTTTTTTTCTGTAACAAAATTTATGTGATTTCTGTGCTTATTGTGAAAAGAGAACAAAACCTTCAAGGAGCACAAACTATGTGTGATCACTTTCAAATATAAATTTCTAGGAAGAGATCTGCTCACCATTGTTATGAGACTCTGCTTTCTCTTCAAAATGTCCCAAATAATTTCTCTTAGATTGAGTTACCATTCTTAAAACCAAGCAGATTTACAAATTCTCAGAATTTGTGCTGGCTTAATGATGTTGTTTGGGTTAGACATAATTACATGATTTATTTCTTTGTATGATTTTCAAATAATTGATGACCATGAATATTTTAATCTTCATTAATAATAAGAAAAAACAATAATAGAGGCAAAATCCTTGATTTTTGAAAAAAAAGTTTCCTAATGAATGAAAACATTTAGACATGATAAAGGAAATTATAACTTTTGAGAGTTTCATATGCTTACTATTCACTTGAAAGCCTTTCTTTCTTTCTCTCTTTCTGTCTTTTTGGTGGTGCTGGGGATTCAACCCACGGCATTGTGCATGCAAGACAAGCCCTCTACCAACTGAGCTATATCCCCAGCCCCCGGAAAGCATTTATTTCTTGCTATTTGTATTTGGCAAAAATAATGACCCTCAAAGATATCCATCCATGCCCTTATCCCCACAATTTGATTATATGTTACCTTATGTCCCAAAGAAGTGATAAAGAAGCAGATGGAATTAAGACAGTGGATTTTCTGACTTTGAGATGTGGAGTTTATCCTGCATTATCTTGGTGGGGGTGACAACATACTCATGAGGATTAGTATAAGAGGGAGAGGAAAGAGAAACACAGAGTAATTGCAATGTGAGAAAGACCAGACCTGACATTGCTGGATTTGAATACAAAGGGGGGGGGGATGGGCCAAGGAATGTGGGCAACTTCTGGAAGCCAGAAAACAGATTCTTCCCTGGAGCTTCCAAAAGACACAGCCCTGCTGATACTTTGATTACAGCCCAGGAAACCCATTTAAAACTTCTATGTACCAGTGACTTTCTATGCTACCCACATCTATACCACGTTTTATGATCATTAGATGACCTTTTTAACATTGCAATATTACTTTTAGCACCTACTTTAACCTTATTATTCCTTAGATTCCAGGACCACAAAGCAATATTTAGACACTTAGCCCAAGAGTAAAATTAGATTTTGTTTGCCAAATGAACATGTTTCATAAATTAGAATATTTCTGTAAAATATTC